CTTCAAACCAGGTATCCCAAAGCGTATGATATGTTCACAGACCACCAGAGGGAGATAGAGCTCTGGAGAGTATCCAACGATTTCCTTACGGAAAATTGGCTCAAGAAAAAAAGAGCCAAAAAAACAAAAATATCTAAGTGCAACATTGCTTTATTCAAAAAGTGGAGAAATGGTAAAAATACAACTCACATGATATAAAGGCCTGTTAGCCAGATAGTAGAGATCCACGTGGGTAGGAAAGTCACTGAGGGCAGCTTTCTGACATGTTTCGTGCCACGCACGTTCTCAAAGAAAGCTGACCCCCTCAGTGACTGCTCATTCATATATAGCGGACACATGCCTGTTAATTGATTGATAATTGGCGTTCCCGCCATTCGCGCATGCGCAGATCGCACTTGTTATCTGTTATGACTCTACCTATGGACACACTAAATCCTGGTTGACCATACGGAGCTACGGCTCCACAGGCAAGCTGATAAACCGTACCCTAATAGCTAATCCCAATGCTGCAGCGAGCCTGATCTTTGATGTATGCTCTGCTATTAACATAAACTATTCCCCCAGGAAAGGCTGTGGGAGGGGTTACAATGGGAGAGAGAGTACCTGGCAAATGATACGTACATTTGCTCCGGGAAGCTAGGAAGGCTGCAACCCATGTAATGGCCATGTAGACATATCAATCCCTAGCTTTCCAGAACCAGCAGGACTGCCCTTAGCACCTTATGATTTGGGTGGTTAGTGGTCAATTGGTGATGCTTTATCGCACTCAAACTTCCGCTACGACAGCATCAAAGGGGGGATGTGGTAGCACCCAGATATTGTAGAGCTCCCCTTAAACTCTAACACTTCTAGTAGCCTGTGTTTGTAAAAGCAAGGTTTTTGGCTCATCTCACCCCCTCCCTTATTTCCTGTGAGTATAATGTGTATCGGTTCGTAGCTGGTATTCTTATCTGCAGCTGCTGTCCAAGGTTATTCTGTAGAGTTTAGGAAGCCTTTTGAGTGTATAGAAAGTGAAAGAAGGAATGTATGCCTTGTGACATAATCATTGGTATACAGTGGGGATCGAAAGTTTGGGCACCCCAGCTAAAAATTTGTATTAATGTGCATAAAGAAGCCAAGGAAAGATGGAAAAATCTCCAAAAGGCATCAAATTACAGATTAGACATTCTTATAATATGTCAACAAAAGTTAGATTTTATTTCCATCATTTACACTTTCAAAATAACAGAAAAAAAAAAATTGCGTCTGCAAAAGTTTGGGCACCCTGCAGAATTTATAGCATGCACTGCCCCCTTTGCCAAGCTGAGACCTGCCAGTGTCATGGATTGTTCTCAATCATCGTCTGGGAAGACCAGGTGATGTCAATCTCAAAGGTTTTAAATGCCCAGACTCATCTGACCTTGCCCCAACAATCAGCACCATGGGTTCTTCTAAGCAGTTGTCTAGAAAACTGAAACTGAAAATAGTTGACACTCACAAAGCTGGAGAAGGCTATAAGAAGATAGCAAAGTGTTTTCAGATGTCAATATCCTCTGTTCGGAATGTAATTAAGAAATGGCAGTCATCAGGAACAGTGGAAGTTAAAACAAGATCTGGAAGACCAAGAAAAATATCAGACAGAACAGCTCGCAGGATTGTGAGAAAAACAATTCAAAACCCACATTTGACTGCACGATCCCTCCAGAAAGATCTGGCAGACACTGGAGTTGTGGTACACTATTCCACTATAAAGAGATACTTGTACAAATATGGTCTTCATGGAAGAGTCATCAGAAGAAAACCTCTTCTACGTCCTCACCACAAAAATCATTGTTTGAACTTTGCAAATGAACATATAGACAAGCCTGATGCATTTTGGAAACAAGTTCTGTGGACCGATGAGGTTAAAATTGAACTTTTTGGCCGGAATGAGCAAAGGTACGTTTGGAGAAGAAGGGGCACAGAATTTAATGAAAAGAACCTCTGCCAACTGTTAAGCATGGGGTTGGATCAATCATGCTTTGGGGTTGTGTTGCAGCCAGTGGCACAGGGAATATCTCACGAGTAGAAGGAAAAATGGATTCAATAAAATTTCAGCAAATTTTGGATGGTAACTTGATGCCATCTGTGAAAAAGCTGAAGTTAAAGAGAGGATGGCTTCTACAAATGGATAATGATCCTAAACACACCTCGAAATCCACGGGGGATTGCATCAAGAGGCGTAAACTGAAGGTTTTGCCATGGCCTTCACAATCTCCTGACCTCAACATAATTGAAAATCTATGGATAGACCTTAAAAGAGCAGTGCGTGACAGACAGCCCAGAAATCTCAAAGAACTGGAAGACTTTTGTAAGGAAGAATGGGCAAAGATACCTCAAACAAGAATTGAAAGACTCTTGGCTGGCTACAAAAAGCTTTTACAAGCTGTGATACTTGCCAAAGGGGGCAGTACAAGATATTAATTCTGCAGGGTGGCCAAACTTTTGCAGAAACCATTTTTTTGTTTTCTGTTATTTTAAAAGTGTAAATGATGGAAATAAAATCTAACTTTTGTTGCCATATTATAAGAATGTCTAATCTTTAATTTGATGCCTTTTGGAGATTTTTCCATCTTTCCTTGGCTTCTTTATGCACATTAATACAAATTTTTAGCTGGGGTGCCCAAACTTTCGATCCCCACTGTATACGCTTGTGAGAAGTTTTCTATAACTCATTTAGCAGATGAGAGCATAAGCGGTCTGTTGGGTCAAAACAGCGCTGTTTTTAATAAATCATTTGTATTTCTCAAGTCCGTGTCCGGAGTTCTCTGGTTTGCCAAAATTGCTACTACACTTCCTCCTGCTGGTGACCCCTCTAGTGATGTAAAGATCTATATAGAGGAATCAGGACCTCCTTCCTCCTGCTGGTGACCCCTCTAGTGATGCATCCTAGAATTCTATTCACTTTCCTCACTGCCTGGCCACACTCTTTACTCATTTTGCAAACATCTGAATCATCTTTAATTTGCACTCTGGTTAGTTTAGTGTAAAGCTCTTTGATTTTGAATAACTGAAATGCCAATGAATGAGGCGTGGAAGCAGCAGAGGTGTCGTATAGAACATGTAAGAAAGTACGATTTCAGGGAAATAATTTGTTTTTTTCTCCTGTGGCAGTTTCTATCTACGTCACCAAGTGCAACGTACTGCAATAAAAGGTTGGAGTGTAAAATCTTCTAGAGGCACATCGACCCTGGCTTAATCTGCAAGGATATTTTGAAGTCCATCTTCTCCTCCTTAAAAAAAGAATCCCTTCATTTTGGTTTAAATCAGAGATGAATGGAATGAAAGGCGAAAGAAACTTACAAAATTAAGGTAAGCCATTTTCTGCACACTACACTTTTTAATAAACTTAACAATCTTTGTTTCAGTAAAACAAGAAAAAAAAAGGATATCAATAGTTTTATGAAGGTGCAAATTTGATAGGTAATAGGAAGACTGGCATGGGCGAATCTGCTCTAGTTATACTTCCAGGTTGTTTTTGCAAAATGTCTTTAAACTTCAAAAAGTCGGAAGTTTTTTCTGTTCAGCATCTATGGGGGCAAATCTTGATATTCCATTTGTTTCTTTTTGTAGGGCTTATACTCAAACTATTGCCAAAAAAGAGGCATAGGAAGCCAGGCACTGACACAGGGGATATGTGCAAATGCTAAAGGGAGCAAAAAAACCATTAACACATTCATTTTTATTTATGTATCACTTACAAATTTATTATCACACAATGATATTATTCTAGAGGAACCAGGACCTCCTTCCTCCTGCTGGTGATCCCTCTAGTGATATAAAGATCTATATAGAGGAACCAGGACCTCCTTCCTCCTGCTGGTGACCCCTCTAGTGATATAAAGATCTATATAGAGGAACCAGGACCTCCTTCCTCCTGCTGGTGACCCCTCTAGTGATATAAAGATCTATATAGAGGAATCAGGACCTCCTTCCTCCTGCTGGTGATCCCTCTAGTGATATAAAGATCTATATAGAGGAACCAGGACCTCCTTCCTCCTGATGATGATCCCTCTAGTGATATAAGGATCTATATAGAGGAATCAGGACCTCCTTCCTCCTGATGGTGACCCCTCTAGTGATATAAAGATCTATATAGAGGAACCGGGACCTCCTTCCTCCTGCTGGTGACCCCTCTAGTGATATAAAGATCTATATAGAGGAACCGGGACCTCCTTCCTCCTGCTGGTGACCCCTCTAGTGATATAAAGATCTATATAGAGGAATCGGGACCTCCTTCCTCCTGCTGGTGATCCCTCTAGTGATATAAAGATCTATATAGAGGAACCAGGACCTCCTTCCTCCTGATGGTGATCCCTCTAGTGATATAAAAATCTATATAGAGGAATCAGGACCTCCTTCCTCCTGATGATGATCCCTCTAGTGATATAAAGATCTATATAGAGGAATCAGGACCTCCTTCTTTCTGCCGGTGACCCCTCTAGTGATATAAGGATCTATATAGAGGAACCAGGACCTCCTTCCTCCTGCCGGTGACCCCTCTAGTGATGTAAAGATCTATATAGAGCAACCAGGACCTCCTTCCTCCTGCCGGTGACCCCTCTAGTGATATAAAGATCTATATAGAGGAATCAGGACCTCCTGCTGGTGACCCCTGTAGTGATATAAAGATCTATATAGAGGAACCAGGACCTCCTTCCTTCCTCCTGCTGGTGACCCCTCTAGTGATGTAAAGATCTATATAGAGGAACCAGGACCTCCTTCCTCCTGCCGGTGACCCCTCTAGTGATGTAAAGATCTATATAGAGGAACCAGGACCTCCTTCCTCCTGCTGGTGACCCCTCTAGTGATATAAAGATCTATATAGAGGAATCAGGACCTCCTGCTGGTGACCCCTCTAGTGATGTAAAGATCTATATAGAGGAACCAGGACCTCCTTCCTCCTGCTGGTGACCCCTCTAGTGATATAAAGATCTATATAGAGGAATCAGGACCTCCTGCTGGTGACCCCTCTAGTGATGTAAAGATCTATATAGAGGAACCAGGACCTCCTTCCTCCTGCTGGTGACCCCTCTAGTGATGCATCCTAGAATTCTATTCACTTTCCTCACTGCCTGGCCACACTCTTTACTCATTTTGCAATCATCTGAATCATCTTTAATTTGCACTCTGGTTAGTTTAGTGTAAAGCTCTGTGATTTTGAATAACTGAAATGCCAATGAATGAGGCGTGGAAGCAGCAGAGGTGTCGTATAGAACATGTAAGAAAGTACGATTTCAGGGAAATAATTTGTTTTTTTCTCCTGTGGCAGTTTCTATCTACGTCACCAAGTGCAACGTACTGCAGTAAATGGTTGGAGCGTAAAAGTCTTCTAGAGGCACATCGACCCTAGATTAATCTGCGAGGATAATGTGAAGTCCATTTTCTCCTCCTCAATAAAAGAATCCTTCATTTTTGGTCAAATCGGAGATAAATGGAATGAAAAGCGAAAGGAACTTACAAAATTAAGGTAAGCCATTTTCTGCACACTACACTTTTTAATAAACTTAACAATCTTTGTTTCAGTAAAACAAGAAAAAAAGGATATCAATAGTTTTATGAAGGTGCAAATTTGATAGGTAATAGGAAGACTGGCATGGGCGAATCTGCTCTAGTTATACTTCCAGGTTGTTTTTGCAAAATGTCTTTAAACTTCAAAAAGTCGGAAGTTTTCTGTTCAGCATCTATGGGGGCAAATCTTGATATTCCATTTGTTTCTTTTTGTAGGGCTTATACTCAAACTATTGCCAAAAAAGAGGCATAGGAAGCCAGGCACTGACACAGGGGATATGTGCAAATGCTAAAGGGAGCAAAAAAAAAAAACCATTAACACATTCATTTTTATTTATGTATCACTTACAAATTTATTATCACACAATGATATTATTCTAGAGCAGTGGTTCTCAACCTTTCTAATGCCGCGACCCCTTAATACAGTTCCTCATGTTGTGGTGACCCCCAACCATAAAATTATTTTCGTTGCTACTTCATAACTGTAATTTTGCAGTGGGAGGACTAGCGCCCCATCACTGATGTCAGTGGGATGAATAGTGTCCCATCATTGGTGTCAGTGGGAGGAATAGCGTCCCATCATTGGTGTCAGTGGGAGGAATAGTGTCCCATCATTGGTGTCAGTGGGAGGAATAGTGTCCCATCATTGGTGTCAGTGGGAGGAATAGTGCCCCATCATTGGTGTCAGTGGGAGGAATAGTGCCCCATCATTGGTGTCAGTGGGAGGAACAGTGCCCCATCATTGGTATCAGTGGGAGGAATAGTACCCCATCATTAGTGTCAGTGGGAGGAATAGTGCCCCATCATTGGTGTCAGTGGGAGGAATAGTGCCCCATCATTGGTGTCAGTGGGAGGAATGGTGCCCCATCATTGGTGTCAGTGGGAGGAATAGTGTCCCATCATTGGTGTCAGTGGGAGGAATAGTGTCCCATCATTGGTGTCAGTGGGAGGAATAGTGTCCCATCATTGGTGTCAGTGGGGGGAATAGTGCCCCATCATTGGTATCAGTGGGGGGAATAGTGCCCCATCATTGGTATCAGTGGGAGGAATAGTGCCCCATCATTGGTGTCAGTGGGGGAGGAATAGTGCCCCATCGTTGGTATTAGTGACACAAATGATGGGGCACTATCCCTCCCACTGACACCAATGATACTTACCTTGCTGACTCCTGCTCCAGCCTGGGCTCGCTCTCTCCCTCTCCCATCTACAACCTGCATACCTGGCTGCAGCAGCAAAATTTGCACTTACCTGTCAGCTGTCTTCCTTCTCTGGCCTCTCTCTTCACTCACTCCTGCAGCTCCCTCGATCTTCTTCTATCTCCGCGCGCTGCCGCTCGGCTCCTCCTCTCCAAGCTCCACCTCCTCGCCGGTGATTGGCCGCCTGTGTGCCTCTCCTGAGCTACAGTTCCGGTGGCCAATCAGCGGCGAGGAGGCGGTGACAGGGGCAGCATATCATCCCGCCCACACATCGCCGGAGACAGGAGCGGTGTCTCGGTTCCTAAGACCATCGGAAATATGTGTTTTCCGATGGTCTTAGGCGACCCCTGGGAAATGGTCGTTCGACCCCCAAAGAGGTCGCGACCCCCAGGTTGAGAACCGCTGTTCTAGAGGAACCAGGACCTCCTTCCTCCTGCTGGTGATCCCTCTAGTGATATAAAGATCTATATAGAGGAATCAGGACCTCCTTCCTCCGGCTGGTGACCCCTCTAGTGATATAAAGATCTATATAGAGGAACCAGGACCTCCTTCCTCCTGCTGGTGACCCCTCTAGTGATATAAAGATCTATATAGAGGAATCAGGACCTCCTTCCTCCTGCTGGTGACCCCTCTAGTGATATAAAGACCTATATAGAGGAATCAGGACCTCCTGCTGGTGACCCCTCTAGTGATATAAAGATCTATATAGAGGAATCAGGACCTCCTTCCTCCTGCTGGTGATCCCTCTAGTGATATAAAGATCTATATAGAGGAATCAGGACCTCCTTCCTCCTGCTGGTGATCCCTCTAGTGATATAAAGATCTATATAGAGGAATCAGGACCTCCTTCCTCCGGCTGGTGACCCCTCTAGTGATATAAAGATCTATATAGAGGAACCAGGACCTCCTTCCTCCTGCTGGTGATCCCTCTAGTGATATAAAGATCTATATAGAGGAATCAGGACCTCCTTCCTCCTGCTGGTGACCCCTCTAGTGATATAAAGACCTATATAGAGGAATCAGGACCTCCTGTTGGTGACCCCTCTAGTGATGTAAAGATCTATATAGAGGAATCAGGACCTCCTTCCTCCTGCTGGTGACCCCTCTAGTGATGCATCCTAGAATTCTATTCACTTTCCTCACTGCCTGGCCACACTCTTTACTCATTTTGCAATCATCTGAATGATCTTTAATTTGCACTCTGGTTAGTTTAGTGTAAAGCTCTTTGATTTTGAATAACTGAAATGCCAATGAATGAGGCGTGGAAGCAGCAGAGGTGTCGTATAGAACATGTAAAAAAGTACGATTTCAGGGAAATAATTTGTTTTTTTTCTCCTGTGGCAGTTTCTATCTATGTCACCAAGTGTAATGTACTGCAGTAAATGGTTGGAGCGTAAAAGTCTTCTAGAGGCACATCGTCCCTAGATTAATCTGCGAGGATAATGTGAAGTCCATTTTCTCCTCCTCAATAAAAGAATCCCTTCATTTTTGGTCAAATCGGAGATAAATGGAATGAAAAGCGAAAGGAACTTACAAAATTAAGGTAAGCCATTTTCTGCACACTACACTTTTTAGTAGATTATATATACTGCCTTTTTTAATGTTATTATTATCATCTATTGACTTTCTTATCGTTATTATCAGTAATACTATTATTTTCCCTTCATCATGTACTTTAGCAGTAGTCAATTATTATTTTCACTTGTATTCTCTCCAAATTTAAAATATAAAAATCATATTCTGAATAGAGTTTATGTCACCTTTGTGGGTAATTTTTTGTATTATTTTTAGCCCTGATGAAGGGGAAGAGGTGTAGATGCTGAAACACATTGGGGGAATCTCCGACCGGGACCCGTGATCGACACCTCTAGCCACCAATGGCCCGGAAGTACAAAATCACGTGATTTTGTGCAGCCCTGCTGCCTTATAGCGGTAGCTCTGCTATAGGACAGTCGGGAAGTGGTTAAAGCAAATGGGCTGATGGGCTGACTGGCAGTGAGGGGGAGAGGGGGGGGTGATCTCCACTGAACAGTAAAGAGACAGTGTTGGGGAAGGGAGGGGAAGGGAATTCCAGTCATCTGCAGTGTTTGTGAATGGGGGGGGGGGGGGGGGGACACACCTGTGTGAAGGTGAAGTGCCACCAGAGAAAAAGCAGATAGATGAGGAGGGAGGGGGAGTGAACTGGAGGGACTATTGTTGGGAAAGTGTCAGGAAGGGAATTCCAATGTAGTGGCAAGATAGGTATCTCGTGAAAATCGGTATTCCCTGAAGCAACTGCGCATGCGCTGGTTTACGTCACAACAAGCCAATCGAGCTGCCGCAGCCGAACATGTACCTGAGTTCAACTAACCCCTTACATGCCGAGTAGTCGGCAGGGCACAGCGGGACACAGACAGGATTGACGGGGGACACAGGCTGAATCATTTCACCCCTTACATGCTAATTGGTTGGCGGGGGACACAGGCAGAATCATTTACTGTATACTTGCCAAATTTTCTGCAGCACTGACCCCGGGCCCTTGGGCAGTGCCCGAGTTTCCAAATGGTCAGTCCGCCCCTGTCCTGCATTATTACCAGAGGACACATAGAGGGGATACATAATTTCACAACCTCCATTATTCTCAGGGAACAAATAGGGGGGATACATAATTTCACCATGTGAAACATCTAATGGACTGTACAGGTTGTACTGAGGGAAGCGCCTTCCCCTCCACATTCCTCTTCTTTATATGCTGCCTGCTGTAATATTCTCTACACTCCTCTCCTCTATATACTTAATGTTGCGATACCTACCTAATTCCTGTACTGCCCATTGTCATAAACTGCTCTCCAGCACATACTGCTTACTATTATACCCTCTGCATTACTCTTGTAAATCTACTGCTCACTGTGATACTCTTCACACTCCTTTCCTTCACATACAGTGCCTTGAAAAAGTATTCACACCCCTTGAAAACCAAAAATTTTAAATGTATTCTATTGGGATTTTATGTGATGGACCAACACAAAGTGGCACATAATTGTGAAGTGGAAGGAAAATGATAAATGGTATTCAAATTTTTTTAAAAGTGTGGCGTGCATTTGTATTCAGCCCCCCGGAGTCAATAATTTGTAGAATTACCTTCCGCTGCAAGTCTTTTTGGGGATGTCTCTTTGCACATCTAGAGAGGGACATTTCTGCCCATTCTTCTTTGCAGAATCGCTCCAACTCTGTCAGATTGGATGGAGAGCGTCTGGGAACAGCAATTTTCAAGTCTTGCCACAGATTCTCCATTGGATTTGGGTCTGGAGTGTGACTGGGCCATTCGAACACATGAAGATGCTTTGATCTAAACCATTCCATTGTAGCTCTGGCTGGATGTTTCGGGTCGCTGTCCTGCTGGAAGGGAAACCTCCACCCCGGTCTCAAGTCTTTTGCAGACTCTAACCTCTAACAGGTTTTCTTATAAGATTGCCCTGTATTTGGCTCCATCCTTCTTCCCATCAACTGTGACCAGCTTCCCTGTCCCTGCTGAAGAATAGCATCCCCACAACACGATGCTGCCACCACCATGTTTCATGGTGGGGATGGTGTGTTCAGGGGGATGTGCAGTGTTAGTTTTCTGCCACACATAGCGTTTTGCTTTTAGGCCAAAAAGTTAAATTTTGGTCTCATCTGACCAGAACACCTTCTTCCACATGTTTTGCTGTGTCCCCACATGGATTTTTGCAAACAGGACTTCTTATGGCTTTCTTTCAACACTGGCTTTCTTCTTGCCACTCTTCCAAAAAGGCCAGATTTGTTGAGTGCACTGTAACAATTGTGTGTAATAGAGTCATAGAACCTGTACGTGACAGCCATTTTTGTTTTTCATGAGCAATGATCTTCCTCCCCTCCTCTCTCCTGAAAACTGGAATTTGTAGCTGTAACTTTTAACAAACTTCAAAAGAACATCTTATCTTAATTAAAACACAGACCTGTCCAGGGCTGTAAACAGCTAAATAGTCTTGACAGGATGTCTGTTTCCATGAACCATGGAAAACACTTTCCTCTCCCCTATTGTAAAATAATAACTCAGTCAAGCAGTCACACATGACCTGTAAGGTCATTAAGGCTCTAGGAATGCAGAGTGTGTCACAAAACATCTATTCCACATGAAAATCATAGAATTCAACAGGAACAGGGCACATTAATATTAGGTATATATTTGAATGGGTAATATCATACCGAACAAATCAAGGTCATACATGAGAGCACATAGGAAAGGGGAGAAAGCAGTCTCTTCCCTCCTGGGTGACAAAGGTACGCTGTGTTTGGTATCCCTGGGTTTGAAATGTAATTCTGAACATTAATCTGCCAGTTGCTAGAATACCACCTGCACATACTAGAAGTTATTAATATTAGTATGAAACTGTAGTTGGGACTTGGTTATAAATTTGGTGACCTCCTAGCACCCATCCCCTAAACTGGATGATTGGTCAGTTGTTCTCGGGAAACACCCCATATCATAGAAAGGGACTGACCAGATCTAGTAAGGTAGCTCTCGTTTAACATCAACCAAGGAACATCTTGACCTGAGAGCCAAGCCAATATTTTTGCTTGGACAATTGGACTCTTCTAAAACCAAGGACTTTGCAAGTATTCTGCCTTCTTAACTCTTTTTTATTTTTCTGTTGCTTTATTGTTCTCTATATTATTTTGTAACATCTTTTTATGCAGATATTTTAATTGCACCATTTTGACCTTTTTAGCAATAAACCCTGTTTTGAAAAGTGTTGAAACTGTCTCTAAGGCTTTTGTATTTCAATAGTTTGTATTAATTGTAAACGTTTTAGACAAAGACGGAAGCAAAAGGTATTCCTACACAGAGGCTATCAATGGCACATAGTGTACAAAAGGAATAATGCTGTAACACCAGTAGTGCAAAAGGCACGCCCACACAGGGGCTATCAATGGCACAGAAAATACAAAAAATACAGTGTTATAACACCAACAGTGAAGCGAAACAAAGACAGATATCTACCTCCTCACAAAAATCAGACAAAGACAAAGAGGAAATAGAGTAAGGAATGAAGAAAAAGACAAGACCAACAGCAGGGATCCGGGAACTCCAATACCAATCAACAACCTAAACCCAGACTGGCTGGGGGGAGCGTGGGAAAAACCAAATCAGTCTCGGTCCTGACCACCATATATGTAACACACATCTCCATGATGGCCACAACCCTGAAAGCAGGGATCACTATAGTAGAGTTTGCCTGGGCTACATGAGCCGGGTCCCAATACCAACAGAACAGTACTTTGTATGCCGCCTCCCGCATGTTTGTGTTGAATGAACATTTAGCTATAAACGACCAGGCCTTATTCCAGTCCTCCGGATCCACGACCGTCTCCAAATCGTGCTCCCATTGAGTGACATGCGATAGAGAAGTATGCATCGAGCGCCCATTCAAAGATGCATAGAGTAGAGAAACAAGACCCGGGGCACCAGGGCTCTGTTGGCAAAGCTGTTCAAAGGCAGATTTTGGATATGGGAAGGCGGAGTTGCCACTCAGTGAGGTCAGCCAATGCTGCAAATGAAGATAACTAAAAAATTCTGCCTGGGGATTCCCGAAGAGAATTCTAGATGGGGAAAGACTGAGAAGTCAAGAAAGGTCACATTTGCAAAAAACCATTGGCTACCCACCAAGAGAATGCCGCAGGTTGGTCTGAACCCTGCGGGAAGAGAGGATTTTTAGAAATTGGGAGCAGGGGTAGAAAGGGTGACATCAAGCCACTAGAGTAGCAAACCGAATCCCATACGAACAGGCCATGGAGCAAAATAGAACTCTGTTGGGCGTAGAGCAGGGGGAAGCCATAGAAGTGTTGATGTCACAATAGGGGCACAATTAGGTAGTTCCAAAAAACCCAGAGGGGAACATCAGAGGAAGTGTGCAACATAGACAGAGGGGCAATCTGGCTCGCCCGATAACACTTAGCTACATTAGGCACCCCCAGACCTCCCTGCAGCCTATGAACAAAAAGCGTATTTCTGGAGACTCTGGGGTGCCTGTCAGCCCAGATAAATCACATAATACTCGCCTGAATCAGCCGGATGAAGTAAGAAGGAACCCGCATTGGGAGGGTGCGAAAATAATATAACAATTTCGGCAGGATAGTAATTTTCACCGAATTAACCCGTCCTATTCAAGACAGGAGCGGGAATTGCCAAGAGCGTATAAGAGAGGACATGGAGCAAAGCAATGGAAAATAGTTTTC